AGGCTACACGTGGAGGCTATCTCGCTTATTGAATTATTAGTGGATCAAATGTTACCCAAAAAATTGTTAGAAAAATAAGATTTGTTTTCGTGGATACGATGGACATATTGGATTTTGTTATGGAAATAAATTGTTGTTTATCATACATCTTGGGAAACAATAGATCTACAATAAATGTGTGTGCAGAATTTTTCATAAACGTACTAGAAAATTTAGATTCAACCATGATTTTTTCCTGAGGTAGTATTCAAGTTTGCAAAAAATCTGTGAAAATTCATGCTCCAAACACCACCATCTCCAAACTATTCCATAGATCAGATTGTTAGTATTAAATCTACTCTTCATTCTGTGAAAATTTCATGAAGATTGGATACACAACGGTGAAATTATTTTTAAAAGTATATAGAAAAACCATGTTTCGAGAAAACTGGCGATAAAGAAACATAAAGGATTGACTTTGTGAGGAAAAAGTGGTGACAAACATACCCAGTATGGGAAAAAATAAAGCTTTAGGGGGTTCCTATGCCATGAAATAGATGTAAGAGTGGCTGAAGAAGCTAAAAATGCCTACAACTTAAAATCCATAGTTTCGAGCCGAATCGGGACTTTCGGGGTGTACCCCCCCCCCCCTTAATTTATAAAAATACCAAATGCTTACAGTTTCAACCAACATCATATTATAATGAAGCTTGGCCCAAAACATTTGGATCGTATAGACTCCTAAACCGCACAACAGACAATTGTGAAATTTTCTATGCAGTTGTAAATTTAGGAGGGGATTTGCATGGGATAGTTAATCTTTTTTTGAAAAACCTGCCGTTTTGTTTCAAGTAACCAATAATTGAAAAATTATTAATTCAAAGAAACCGAAAAGAACACTTCACCTTTGTTCCGACTGCTTCCTTCCGGTGACGCTTGGCTTATTATTGCCAGTTGGCATGGTAAAGTAAGGTTAGATCTACCTCTATCATGATTGTTATATCATTTAAAATATCTTAAGTAAAGTAAGTGTGGATCATATTTTGCCTCGGTAGATCTTATTCTTAGAGGAAGGATCTAGATCAAGATCTAATATCTCAACCACTTGACCGCGAGGCGAACGAATTCGGCTGCTCAATACCTTAGTTATCGAGTAAAGTAAGGATAGATCTAGATCTGGAAGTATTTAGACCATATTGTGTTTCTGTAGATCTTATTCTTTGACGGTAGATCTAGGCTAGATCTAATATCTCAACCACTTGACCGTGAGGTGGACGAATTCCCCCGCTCAATACCTTAGTTATCGAAGCCCGTAAAACCTGTCCAAATCGTTTGA